CCACCAAGTCCTAAAAGGCAAGCAAGTATATTCCCTAGAGACTGGGGGATGACAGTCTTACCAAAATGCCTTGGATTCTTGTTTTTTAAAACTGGGGAAGAAATAAACTTCTAGTGGTTAAAACCATCAAATCTGCAGTAATTTGCTGTTGTAGCTATTCACAAACAAATGCAAATACTAGGTTAAACATTATCATTTCCTCTGAATTCAAAACCTGGGTCACAGAAAATAGATACCAAGGACCAGTTTTTTGTATGTATCAATTTTGGTTTAACACTAAAAGAATATTGAACAAAATGTCTGGTGTTTATCCAAAGTTGATTTTCTTTCAAGATAATCTAGATTTTGGGGGAGTCCTAGCCTGGTTTCACAGACTTTGAATTCTCATTCTTCAGTTGAAAGCAATGCTATTTTTGACTCCCACAAGAGGTACCCGAGAGAGAATAAAGGGAGTGAAAGGGAGTCTTTCTTTTCAAATGAGTTTTAGACTTTTATGTAGGTTGGATGTTTCTAACTATGGGAATATTTTGACATTTGACACCTGGGGCATTTAAAGGGACTTTCATTGTCTGGTTCTATATTTTCACATTTTAAGCCAAGACAAAACATACAGGAAGGGTGAAATTGCTATTATCCTTCAGGAAATAGGAGACACAGTCTTCTCCATGCATTTAAATTGGCTTCTCTGTATTTTTACACATTTCTAAGGCCTGCAATGAAGAACAGAAATGATACCTCCCTGTTATAATCAGCATAAAGTCCCAAGCAAGAAAAGCATCATTTGTGACTGCAGGTAAATTAAACAATCCTACTTTCAATTTATCCTTACAATGCCCTAGTATGGTAGTTAAACATTATTCCTGAACCCTTGCTAGCTCTGGAGAATTGGTGTCAAATGATGTTCCTCCAAACCAGCCAAAACCTCTGGTAGGAGAGCTCTCTCTCACAATCACGCACATTATGAGTCCAGTCCTAAGCATTATTTCACTCATGCTACTCACCTGCTAATAAGATCTTCAGACTCTCCTTCTCCTGAATTTAACACAGAAGTAAACTGGCACCAGAAAATCTGAAGGTGGAAGTATTTGCAGGAGCACAGGACACCAGTGACATTCCCTTCCCATCCTGTAATAGGTAGCCTCCCTTAGTGTCTTGGCCTATTATATTCTCATTTCCCTCTTAGAATTCAGCTCAGCCTGGGGTGGTAACATAGCATTTGCTAGTATCCCAGCATGGATTTGCCAAGAGCATTTTATATTTTTGGTTGTGAGCCTAGCCTTTAACGGCTGAGCCATCTCTCCAGCCCGCCAAGAGCATTTTAATGTGATGGGACATGGGGTTTCTGGAGAACACTAGGTGGTGTTCTTGAGGACAATGAAAGTACTAGAAAGGTTAATAGGTGTCTTAGTTAGAGGTTTTAATGGCTGTGAAGAGACACCATGACCATGGCAATTCTTATAAAGGAAAAACATTTAATTAGTGTGGCCCGCTTACAGTTTCAGAGGTTTAGTCCATTAACATCATGTCAGGGAGCATGGTAGCATGCAGGGAGATGTGATCCTGGAGGAATAGCTGAGAATCCTACATCTTGCAGGCAACAGGAAGTCGACAGAGACACTGGGTGGTATCCTGAGCATAGGAAACCACAAAGCCAGCCCCCACAGTGATACACTTCCTCCAGGAAGGCCATACCCACTCCAACAAAGCCACACCTCCTAACAGTGCCATACCCTATGAGATTATGGGGTCCAATTACATTTAAACTATCACAGTGGGCATGCTAATCAAGACACAAGGAAGAGAAGCATTACTCTGAAAGTAAGTACAAAACTTGGAGAAGCCAGAGTCATAGTAGGGGTGGACAGAGTGGCTCCAGCTGAAGGGTATCAAAATGTAGCCATGAAACATTTTAGGTGCCTTCTAGGTAGCACCTTGGCTAGCGACAACACTGCTGCTTTTGGTATGGTCGCAACTCCCTCAGGCTTGCCATTGGCACACACCTGGCTGAATTGCAAATTTCATTATTTTATCTGGGTGCCTGAGGACTTTTTCTTGTCACTGTCGTTTTCTCAGCCAGCTCTGGGCAGCCCTTGAACAGAAACCAATAGAAACTAATGCATAAATAACCCAAATTCTTCAAAATCTCAGCTAGCCCGGGCTAGCCACAACTTCACAATGCTCTCCTTCAGAAAGTACTCAGAGCCTTCCTATCACCCACACCTTCTTGGTGATTTTTGTGATCAACTCCAAATAAACACATACTTGTCTCAAAGTTTGCTTCTGGGGCAGCCAAACCAAAATGGTTGACACAGTTACTTGTGACCAGAGACTCGCTGCTTAAATGACTGTTTTGTACATCCAAAGGCTTGTTTGTTCAGAACATTAGCTCATCCTTTCAAAAATGGATCAGACTTGGTACACACACAGTTTAGATACATATTTTCTGTCTTGGTTCATGATGTAATTGTTAATCTAAAAATATTTCTAGGTCAACCGTTTTTATTGCAGAAACAACCGTGTTCCAGGGTGCCAAAGTGGAATCAGTAGAAGCTGGAGGAGCATTTAAATCTTCCATACTCAAGGAGAAGTAATGGGTGTTTCTATCTTATCCCTAAATATCAATAGAGCCAAGTGGAGAATGTTTTCACCATTCATCTCCATATCAGTGTGATAATGTCAATAAAGCCATATCAAAACATTGGAGTTTTGTAAGATTTTTAATCTTCTACTCAGTGTACTAAAGATTGTGTGTGTGTTTTGTTGTTGTTTGTTTGTTTTAGTCATGTCATACAAAATGCAAAACATTTTTTGAACTAAAAGAGAAAAGATACCAATGCCAAGATCATACTGACAGTAGGATTGTCTGGGAAACAGCCTTTCTAAGCGTGCTTTCCTAGGGGACAGAGAGATGGCTCATTTGTTACAGTGCTTGCCACAGAAGCATGAGAACCCAAGTTTCAGCCCATGTTCTTGTCACAGTGGCACACACACACTGATAATACCAGCACTGAAGAGGCAGAGGCAGGGCCATGCTGACCATGTACTCTAGCCAATCAGCAAAACCAAGTTCAGTAACAGACCATGTCTCAAAAATAAGGTGAAGATATATAAAAAAAAAAAGAGAAAGAAAAAGAAAAAAAGCAAAGAATAGGAGGAATCTCAGTGTTAGCTTCTGCCCTCTACAGGCTCATTCATATAATGAATTGTACACTTTCATGCTTGTACACAAATACATACACACACACACACACACACACACACACACACACACACACACACACACACAAGAATTCCTCACTAACCAATAATGAAAAGATTAAAAAGAAATTTAAAAGCAGCATGCCTAAATGAAAACAAGAGATGATATAAAGTGATGAAATGAATGAGAAGGTTGGAACTAAATGAATATAACATGCCACTCAAAACAAAAGATTCAGTGACAAGATCAGCAGTTGAATGCAAAGAAATGAAGAAATAATCACTCATATATACAAAGGCTACCAACCTTTATGTGTTAATTTTGGATCCTACTACCTCATTGAAGTGTTGATCAACTAAGGAGTTTCCTGATAAAGTTTTTGAAGATTTTTACACATAAACACATATCATTGCCAAATAAAAATACTTGGACTTCTTCCCTTCCTATTTGTATCCCTTGATCTCCTTCAGTTGTCTTATTGCTGTGGCTAAGACTTTAAGAAATTTATTAAATAGGTATGTGGAGAGAAATAACTTTGTTTTGTTCCTGGTTTTAGCTGAATTGCTTTGAGTGTCTTTCCATCTAAGTGGACACAGGCTCCCATCCTAACTAAGAAGCTATGTGCAATTGACATACACTTTCAAAAGAAAAATTTATCATTTTTCTTCAATGGAGTTTCACTAGGTATATTAGCCACACTTCAGAGTAGGTCCCATGCCCATCTGTAGATGGCCAAAACAAAATTAATTCAATGGTATTTTTGTATACTTTTTATATCATAATTGTTTTGTTTGGTCTTTTTTGTCTTATTGGCCTTTTGCTTGTATATTATGGCTTTCAGTTTAGAGCTTTTGTGGAGTTTATTTTCTTTATGGTGAGTTTGTGAGTATGTATGATTTTCTTGTGTTTTGGGTTTGGTTTTGTTGTGTGTATTGTTATTGAGTTGTTTTCTGTTTTGTTTTATTTTGGTTTTTTTGCCTGTTTTCTAAGGAGAGAGAAAAAGAAGGGGTATGGTGTTGAGTGGGTAGTTAGGTTGAAAGGATCTGAGAGGAGTTGAGAGAGGCAAAAGTATGATCAGAATATATTATATGAAAAAACATCTTTCCAGTAGAAAAAAATAAAAGAAAAAAGCTAATTTGAAATTAAGAGTTATTTAACATATTTCTTAAATATCAAAATATGTTCAAATGTTCACATAACTGAAATTATAATTTGTAATTACATATTTTGTGTATTTTTATAATTATATATTTTATTATATATTGTATAATTTATAATCATAATTTATAATTTTCTTTTAGAAGTAGCTTTTTTCACTACTAAAATAAAAATAAATAATTAGTGAATTTGAAAAGGAAACAACATAAATCACCAAATCAGAACATCAAGGGCCAAAGACGAGGTGCAAATAAAAAAGACCAGAACCTCTTAGGGACATGTGATATTCCAGGAAAATCTTTCACATTCCTAGTGTCAGAATCAGAGTCTAAAATGAATAAAAAGGAGAAAAACTTCATTTGTCATAAAACCAAAAACTTAAAGACAAAGATGGAAGCAAGGACCTTAAACCAGAAAAGATTCATACCAGGATACATTACAGTGAAACTTCTGAACACTAAAATCATAAAGAATGTCTTAGGTCTTAGAAGCAAGCAGGAAGTAATGACGCACCACAAACAGGAGAAACGTGATTCAAATGGCAGAAAAGTTCTTTCTAAAAACTTTTCTATTTTTGAGAATTTCAAACATGTATACAATGTTATTATGATCATATACAATCCTAATTTTCTTTTTCCAACTTCTCCCATATCCCTTCCAACCTGCCCTTTCCCATCTTCATGTCTTCTTTGTTTACTTGCTTTTGTTTTTTGATAACCCCGTTAGTCCAGCTGCTGCTCTTCATATATACACAGGTGTAGGGCATTCACTGGAACAGTGGAAATCTATTAATGACCTCACCCTCAAAAAGCATGATTCTCTCTTCTCCAGCACCTATCCACTGCTAACACTTCATCAATAAGGGATGGGGCCTTCAGATCATCTATCCCATCATCTATGTTGGGACTTTTGTCTGGCTTGATCATGTACAGGTCTTGTGCTAGTAAACCCAGCTGCTGCGTGTCCGTGATTGCAATAGCCATGTCGTGTCCAGCAGAAAGCACTCACAAAACCACTACTCATCCCCCAGCTCTTACGTTCTTTACGACTTTCTTCCATGATGTTCCCTGAGGCTTGTTGGTGGTGGTGGTGGTTGTAGGGTGAACATGGATGTCTCATTGAAAGCTGAGCACTCCATCACTTAGTTTCAGCACTTTGACCACTTACACTCTGCTGTCCACTGCAGAGAGAAGCTTCTGTGACCATGGTTGAGTGCAAGCACAAATATTTAGAAGGCACTTTGATAGCATGGCTGCTTGGTAAAATAACAACAGCAGTTCTACCCTAGGTCCTACAGCCTCAACAGCTGTTGACTTTCACCAGGATTACAGTACCAGGCATTCCCTGAGGCATCTACTTTGGTGGATAAATACCATTTTAAAGACCCACTGCTGATATCACACTTCATTGTGAGAACTGAATGTTTTATTCTTAACTTTGGAAGCAAAGCACGGCTGTCTGTTATGAGCACAGCAATTTTACTTTCTATTGAAAGTTCTAGCTACAGCAAAGAGATGAACAGATTATAAGGAAATAGAAAATACTGTCCACATTTACCAGTGTCATGATGATCAACATAGAGAACCCAAAAGTATCCACCAAAACTTCTCGAATAAGTAAATTCAGTAAGGCTGTAAGATGCAAGATTAGTATGCAGAAATCATTTTTATTTCCATATAATAGCAAGGAGCACACTGAAACCGATATTTTAAGAAGGAAATTCCTAGGGATAAATCTAGCATCGCCTGTATAGGAGTTGCATGTTGAAAATCACAAAATGCCAAGGAAAACAGTTTAAGAAGCTATAAGTATCTAGTGAAATCATATACTTTTGCAAATTGAAATAATGCAGTAAAAATGTTAATTCCTTTTAAAAGGATATGAGAAGAAAACAAAAAATAAAACCTATTAATTCCCAGGGATAATCTTTGCAGATTCAAACAAGATTCTAAAATGTACTTGGAAAGACAACAAAACTTCATGAAATAACTGAATTTCTGATGAAAATGAAGGATGACTTGAGAGTTACCACTTCCTAATGGGGTAGGAAGGATCACCCCCATCATAAGACAGAGCAGCAGTGGCCAATACTATATGATGTTAAGGTTGGGAAGGAAATAAAAAATACTGGTGTTTCTTCCAGAGACCTGGAATGGATTCCCACCACCCACCACCCACATGGTGGCTCACAGGTGGCTGCAACTCCAGTTGCAGGGGATTATGGTGCAAAGACATTTATGTACAGGCAAAATCCATAAACATCAAATATTTTTAAATGATTAAAAATGATCCTCAATTTTAACCTCACACCTAACAACTCAAAATAAATTTAAATGCAAACTATAAAATGATCAAACATGGTGCTGGAGAGATGGCCCAATTGTTAAGAGCACTTGCTGCTCTTGTAGAGGACCCAGATGTGGTTTTCACATCTTCATCAGGCACCTCACAACCTCCTGCAACTTTAGCTTTGGGAATCTGACACCCTCTTCTGGCCTCTGCAGGCACCCCTACTCATGTGGGAATACCCACATGAAGACATACACATACACATAATTAAAATAAAGTGAGTCTTTTAAAAATACTGAATGTATTACTATCTTGTTATTTATGCTTTATGTTTGAAGGGCTTCACAATGCATTCAACTCAGGATAATGAAAATAACATTGTTTAAAATTCTCAGTTTTAGTTATTGATATTATCAGTCCTTAAAGAAATTTTAGTTATTTCATCATACAGAGTAATTACAGATTTCACTTGTATATTTCATATGTATTGCTTATTGATTCTTCGGAAATTTCACCCTATCTGCTTTTTAGACCCTTTTTGTTGCTCTCACCATGCCTTTTTCATACCGTGTGTGTGTGTGTGTGTGTGTGTATCTTAAATCTAGATTTTGCTAAGAGAAAAAGTGATATTTGTCTGCTGAATGTGACTTACTTCATTTATCATAATGATCTCCAGTTCTATCCATTTTACTTCAAATGTCATGACTTCAATTTTTTACACTTGAAAAAAATTCCATTGTGAATATGTGCTATCATCTCTGACTTCATACTTCTACTGATTCAAATCTACCCTGCTTCCATGACTTGGCTATTGTGAGTAATACAACAATGACATGGATATGCAATTATCTATGGTATGCTAACTTAGATTCCTTAGGAATATACCCAGGAGTGGCATAGCTAGATCATACTGAAGTTCCATTTTTAGATTTGAGGAACCTACGCATTGACATCCACAGGGGCTACATCTGTTTACACTCCCATTCTAACTCCAATGAAGAGGAATCTCCAGGGAGTTTTAATTTGTGAATTCCTGATGGCTGAGGATGTTGAATATCTTTCAAACATGGCTTGGTTATTCATTCAGATCCTCTGAATTTCATTGGACTTTGCTGGAAAAGTCACTGTTTCATCTCTAATTGTTTTAAATGCAGTCCTCTCTTTCTTTTGGTTAATCTGGGCAGAACTTGTCATTTTTTTCTTCAAATAATTCTTTGATTCTCTATATTGCTCTTTCCATCTGTATTTCATTGATTTCTACCTCAATCTTTATTATCCTCACATCTACTGCTTGGAATTTAGTCTGTTATTTTTCTAAGACCCTGAAGTGCATTATTAGATTACTTACTTGAGATCTTGGATTTGTTGTTGTTTTTTGAAACAGAGTCTCACAGATCCCAGGCTAACTAGTCAACTAGTGTGCATTTTTGTTGGTGAGTTGAAATCATTTATATTTAAGATTATTATTGGGATATGTTTACTAATTCTTATAATTTTATTGCTTTTGTCTTATTATTTGATACTATTCTTGAGGAGACATTATCAAATGACTACTCATCCCATATAGGGAACTTCCAACAGATCAAAGTATCTGTATCACCACAGGTATCACCACAATCCATGGTGAACCAATAAATTTTGCAGGACCATGAGTGAGTGGTTACTTGCAGTAACCAAAATGCCTCAAAGACAGATGTATCACCAAAGCCAACCCTAGCACTAATGGCAGTTAATAAATGCTAGAAATCTGGACCACGCTGTACTACCTTCCAGCAGCTTCACAGGTCAGAGAATGCCCTGCCCAGGTGCTTCACTTGGTCTTCTGAGCATCTTCCAGGTACTGTGGCTAGTTCTAGGCCAATTGTTGGAGCTCCACTTTTTCCAGGTGTCTCAGCTGGTCTAAGACTCTTTCTAGGCAGCTCAGTTTGTGTAAGACTGTCTCTCAGAAGTCCTTACAGCAGATGTATGCTTGAGGAAGGAGGAGCCTAGTGAATCTAGTCCATTTTGGGGATTTCCTTTCAAGGCTTCAGCCTTTGAGTTGTTTGCTTCCTGAGATTAAGAAGCTTCCTTGCAAGTGGAATGTTTCACCTTCCCTTAGAACATCCATTGTTTGGCCTCCCCTGTAACACCCTGCATCTTAAGGAGTTTACCACTGAGGTAGAAGGTTTTAATCTAAGATGAAACTTCTAAACAATCTCTGGTTGTTTGGGAATTATTTGTTCTTTTCTTTCTCTCTCATTCATAACTGGGTTAGCTGCTAATTTACTATGTTGGAAATAATGGATCTCTTTCTGTTTTTTTCCTTTGCTCATCTTTTCATCTCTAGAAAGTTATCCTTTCCTGTGTTCTTTTGATGGACACTATCCTTTTTCTTCTGCATATAGCATTCCTTCAACTGTTACCTTCAGTGATGGATTGGTGGTCATGAGCTGAATTCATATGAGTTTGGAATTGTCCATTTCTCCATCAATTTTAAAAGAAAACTTTGCTAGGTATGGTAATCTTTACTTGGCAGTTATTTACTTTCAGGGTTTGGAATACATCTTTCCACACTTTCTTGGTTTTTAAGCCTACTAATGAGCCATCTGGTGTAATTCTGACATTTCTTCCATTGCAGGTGAATTAGCACTTTTCCCTTATAGCTTTTAACCTTGTTTCTTTATTTTGTACTTTTGACACTGTGCCGAGGTAGGGTCCTTCTCTAGTTTTGCCTTTTTGTGGTTCTAAATGTTACTTGTGTTTGAATATCAATGTCTTTCTCTAGATTTGGGGAGTTTTCTACTATAATTTCAAATAAATTCTGCCTTTGCTCTCTATATGAACCCTTTCTTCTTCCCATGTGAATGTATAAGTTTTATTTCTTGATTATCTCATTGTTATTAGACATTCTAGGCATACTTAGTATTTTCTTTATTGATGTTTGAGTTGAGTTTTTCTCAATCTCATTCTTAGTCCTTGAAAAATGTCTGCCTGGCCAGGTGTATGACTGTGTTTATCATTTGATAAACTGAGCCTTCATTTCTGACATTTCTTTTTTTTTTTCAAAAGTCTCATATTCCTTGCTGAATTTTCTTTCTCTGTCTTACCAGATTTTTCATGCATAATGCTGATTTACTCATCCATTTTGGAAATTTTCTTCCCTGTGTTTGTGAATTTTGTCTCCAGGACCTGAATCCATTCCCTTGCTTTACCCACGTTGTTGTTTATGGGGTCATTAATAACTTTTCCTTATAAACCTGTGAACTCTTCCTCAGACATTTGTCCATGCAGACTCAAAGCTGATGGGTTAGGATCTTTTGGAAGGATTCTGTTGCCTGATTTTGTGGCTTTCTTTTGTTTCTGACTTACAGCTCATATGTCTGTTGACTTAGAGGTCTCCTCATTTATTAGTGATCTTCTTAGTGAACAACCTACTCCTGAGAGCTCAAGCCCCAAGACTCTTCACAGAGAACACAAACTGCTTTTACATTGGCAATGCTGAACCAGATAAGATATGAAAACACATTTAAAATTGATTCAAGCCAACTAATATACCAGCAGTGATCACAAAACAGATAACATTTTTTTAAATCTATAGTAAACCAAGAATTGTTCATTTTACATCTTCTTTTCATAAGGCCTTTATTCAGTCTTCTTGTCTGTTTTCTGTAGGGATGATCTCTGTTATTTGTTGATGTGTGGATATTGCCAGTCTCTTTTATCATTCTGCAAATTGCATTTACTCTTAACAATGACTGTGAGCATTAGTACATACAGAACACAATTTCCTATCCCAGGTGTACTGCTTTTCTCAATGCTACCACCAAATACTTGACAAAAAGCAACTCTAGGGAGGATTTACTTTGGCTTTGTTTAAAGGGGACACAGTCTGTAATGGAGGAGAAGGCACGGTGGTGGAAATGTCTACTAGCATTGATGACTGAAACTTGAGAAGAGATCATGGTCTACTACATGCCAGTGTATCAAGAAGCTCAGAGAGACTTTCAGAGGTGGAAATTGGAGCTGAGAGATAGACTCTAAAGCCTCTCCTCAAGAGATCTCCTTCCTCCAGAGAGGCCTCATCTCCTCAAAGTTCCACAGCCTTCCACAAACATCACAATCCACTGCTGACTAAGTATTTAGATACACAAGTTTGTGGAGACATCTTAAATTCAAACCACAACTAAAAGGAATGGAGAGACCAATGGCCTATCTTGTTCTCATAACCATGGCACAGTTTAGTGTTCAGGATCTCAGAATCCCTGGGGAGTTCCCAGGATACAACCACATCAAATAGTGGGAATTAACTACAGCCGTTTCAGAAGTAGAGCATATACATTAGAAGCAGTATTTTTACTTCATCCTTAAGTAGCCAGGCACTTGGTAATGTGTATGTACTAAAAGGCAGCTGGTGCTCTTTAATTCTTCAGACCCCAGTCTTGTTGAATATCAGCAGCTTTGTTTCTTTCACTTAGATTTTTCACTGCCATGTTTTACCACCATAAATCCTGGAAACACAATCTCAAGGAGATGTGACATCACCAATAAAAGTGCCGTACCATGTAATGTTGAGGCTGTCAAACTACACAAGCCCAATGACAGACCAGGTAATCTCTGCTTCCCTCAGAACTGTGAAGTGCCTGGCAGCAGCTCACTGAGCTGTTCTGACAGGCTGGGCCCTTCCACAAACCATAGAGCTAAAAAGAACCGACTGAAGGAGAATTCCTAAGGGATCACCAATGTGACCATTTTTCACAGTATAGAAAGAAATTGTGTATTTTTGAGAAATGGAAAAAGCATGGCTGAAAGTAACTTTTGAAGTAGCAGGTGAAAACTTTGGGGACCACTTGGTGGTAGTTAGGTTTTTGGTTTTGGTTTTGTCTTGTCACTATAAGAAATACTGAGCTAGGCAGTTGTGGCACACGCCTTTAATCCCAACACTCAGGAGGCAAATACAGGTGGGTCTTTCTGAGTTCAAGGCCAGCCTGGTCTACAGAGCTAGTCTGGGACAGCCAAAGCTACACAAAAAAACACTTTCTTGAAAAACAAACATAAAAAAAGAAATGCCTGAGAAAAATCAAGCCATAATGTGAAAGGTTCATGCTGGCTATTATTTCAGAGGCTTCAGGCCATAGTTGTTTGGCCTCATGACTTTTGGGAGAGTGGCAAGGCAGTGCTTCATGACAAAAACGTATAGCACAAGAAACATGCTAACCTGGTGGTGGCCTGAGAATAGAAAAAGAAAAGAGAATTGTGGGATCATAATGTCCTCTTCAAGAGCAAGTTCCCTACTTCTTCCCACTAGATCCTCCTAAAGGTTACATCACCTCCTAACCATGCTAGAGGAGATTTAGGCCCGTCACACTTACTCTAGGCTTTTGGTGAACATTTCCAAACCATAGCATTTTTCTAGCTTGCTATCCTATTGCTATGATAAAAATGCCATGAACAAAAGCAACTTGAGGAGGAAAGGAAATATTTGACTTACAGGCTAGAGTCTAGCATTAAGCTGAGCCAAGGCAGAAACTCAAGAAGTAACCTGGAAGCAGTAACTGAAGCAGAAACCATGGAGGAACACTGCTTACCGGCTTTCCTTCTCTGTCTTACTCAGTTACATTTCCTATAAAACATGGTACCACCTGCTGAGGGGTGGCACCACCCACAATGAGCTAAGCCCTCCTATATCATTTAGCAATTAAGAAACTGCTCTGCAGACATGTCCACAGGCCAGTCTGGAGACAATTCCTCAGCTGAAATTCCCACTTCCCAGGTACTCCGGTTTATGTCAAGTTGCCAAAAAAAAAAGTAACCAGTACAGGCACTCTTTCAAAGTACTTAAGTTTTATTCCTACGTTAAAAGAGAGTTTCTAAGAGAAAAGGGTGGCAAATTGGTGTGTTTATGCAAGATGTAGGTATAACTATGCAAAGAAACACATAACTAGGTCATGTTTGTGCAGTATTATTTTTAGGAGCCCAATCTGGTCATCATGGAGAGTGGAAGGAAAATTAATGGCAAGGAGATAGGGAAACACAGTTATTTCAGTGTAAGATAAGAATCACTTGCAAAATGTAGGAGGAGGACAGTTTTGTTTTTAGTTGTGTGAATTTAGGACTTGAAGGATATAATGGGTGTTAGGGAAGAAGGATTGTGCTTGTCCTTCAGATCTTGGCTTCCCTAGTGGAAGGAATTCGATCAGCCAAGCTCCCATGATTCACCTCCAGGATGCTTTTCATGTCTGTATTCTAAGAAGGAAAATTTAAACCCCAGTTGCTACCCTGATCCAGCTACTCTTTAGCCATGCCTCTGTTAAACACTGTTGGTATCCACGCCTGATTCCCTGTTCTTTTCAATGCCAACACATTCGGAGCACTAATGGCCTCTTGCCCTGCTCCTCTTAGATTGCTAAGGGCCCAAGCTCTTCACTTCCAGGCTTTTTAGTCAGCTTTCATTTTCCATTCAAGCCTCTTGAAATCAAACACACTGCCTCATGCTAAACATATCTGGCACTGTTTCTAAGATGAATACATAGTAACAGTTACAAGCATACCTTCCCTCGGGACTCTGGCCCCGCCCATTCAAAGGGTTTCTTATGGGAGCAGCAAGCTGGGGTCAGGGCAGAGACTCTGATCCCAGTTAAAACTCAAGGAGTTCTAACATTCCCAGCAGGCACATGTCCTCAGGCATGTGGTCTGGGGAGAGATCATTGGAAGATCCAGACAAGTGTACATCCTCTTAGGAATTCTTGGCTGGTGTCCTGCTGATAGGTCTTATAGAGGACAAGTCCGCGCTGAGAAGACTCCCCCTTTGTGTGATGGATTACAGAAAACATTGCTACAGAGAAAACAGAGGAAGAAAGCCAGATTTTACCAGCCAAGTCATTTTCAGCAAGCTACCATGTGTCTGGCTGGAAAGTAAGTGGGCTCTGAAAGCAGAGTTAGCAGTGATCATTCTTTCAACAACAGGTGGCATCTTTGCCTGTATTGACGCTAGCAAAGGAAAGAGAGATCAAAGAATGTATGTCAGTGTTCTTAAAATGTATAGATTTCTGAAGCTGGAAATCTAGAGAGGGTTCAGTAGTTAAAAGGTCCTCTTGTAGAGGACTCAGTTTTCGTTCCCAGCACCCACACTGACTGGCTCACAACCACTTGTTCCTCCAGTTCTTGGAGATTCACAGGCTGCACTTGTACATGCATCTACACACACACACACACACACACACACACACACACACACACACACACACACACTTTACTTTCCATGATCAGCCTTTAAAAGTATAGCCACATGCCCACTCCCAACATGCCTAAATCCTCCTCATGTGCTTGTTCTGTATGTGGCTGTTATTACCAGTTGATTTGTCATATAATTTATATTTATTTCCTTATTCGGTGCCACCCCATGCCTCACCCTACTGCCACCTACAAGACCATAAGACCCACAAGGACTGGATACTTCTAATTATTTTCATCATTGTAGGTTTATTTTTTTCACCTAGAGAAAGTCTCAGCATAGAGAAAACTTTCAATAAGTATTTAGTGTGACCACACTGCTGCTAAACGCAACCATGCACAGGCACTGTAGACCACAGTGGTGTGCTTTAAAGGGGCTTACCATTGTTTAAGGTATCAGTTGAGTCTTCTGGTTTTACTCAGGATGAAATGTGAAGGATGAGAAGAATCTCTGCTCAAGGAGGTAGAAGGCAGACAGAGGAGGAAGAGGAGCATAAAGCTCAGGTTGGCTGAGAAGGGCCTGAGCCCAGGATCTGAGGGATATTACAAAGAAAGGAGAGAAAAAGGCCACCTGAGGGGCAGTGGTAAGGCTTTAATCAAATATTAAAGGGATTTTGATCAGAAATGAGACAATTGGAGCTTGGGATATTAGGACAGCCAAGGATTCACAAGATACTAGAACACATCAAGGAAGAGAGGGTTGTCAAGAACGTTGGTTCTCCAACTCACTCATCTGCCATCCTTGCCACTCTGAAAACTATTGAAGACCCAAAGGTGCTTGCATGTATACATTATCTATTAATATTTGCCTCCCTCATTTGAAATTATTGGGAAATTTGAGACACACATAATTCTTTTAAAAATATTAGGCCAGCTGAATATGATGGTACATGCCTGTGCCCCTAGCTACTTGGGAAGCTGAGACAAGAGGCTGAAATATTAAATTCTTGCTGGACAATTTAGAGAAGTCATGCCTTAAATAACTGACTGAATAAAATAAATAAATAAGCAAGGCTAAGGGGGTAGCTCACCTCAATTGCCTAGTGTGTGTGTGTGTGAGACCCTGAGTTCAGTACCATAAAAAAAGGAATAAAAATAACCATAATCATTTAATATTAGCCTCAAACATTTTAAATGAGAACCTGAGTATGTGTTTCAGAACTTTAGTCACATGAATCATGTTGCTTTATATTTTGGCCACTTCATAAGTGGGTTTTAAAACATGGGTAGACTTTAATGGTTGCTTTTGAAACTAATGTGCAGGAATATTATGTGTCACACAGCACACTGAAATTTCCACTGTGCATTCATGAGAGGGTGAAAGCATTAAATACCATGCAGTATTATCATTGCACCCTTTACCTACATAGGCTTGGCTCCAAGGTACTGAATAGATCTCTAAAGCCACACATAGTACCCAACCCTATATATTATGTTTATTCCTAGCCATATATACTTATGATAAGCTTAAAGTATAAATTAGTCACAGTAAGAGACTAACAGTAGCTAAAAAATGAAATAGGATGATTATAACAATACCCCGAGGTAACAGTTGAGAATTACGTATTTCCACAACTATTCAATTAGTGTTTTCTGACCTAAGAATGACTACAGGTAATTGAAACCTCAGAATGTGAAGCCACAGATAAGGAGTTTTGTTGTGCTACAAGAATAACATTAGTGCCTTCTGGGTCTTTCTGAGACGATCCCAAAGACCCATGGGTGCTGAGCCACACTTTAGGGCAGTGATTTTCAACCTGCGGGTCATGACCCCTTTAGGGTCACATGACCCTTTCATAGAGTCACCTTAGACCATCAGAAAATGCAGGTATTTACATAACAATTCACAACAGTAGCAAAATTACAGCTATGAAGTAGTGTTAAACATGAGGAACTGTATTAAAGGGTTCCAGCATTAGGAAGGTTGAGGACCAGTGCTCTATTTTGTCTTCTGCTGCCCATTTGAGAAGATACCTGGGGAAACCACCCTACCTGCAACAGCAGCCCAGGCCAACCCCATTGCACTGTGCCTTCTGTAAATATGGTCCTACGTGGGGAATTTTTAAAAGGCAAATCATGGATGCATCATCCTTTTATTGTTTCTCAGTGGTGCAATAGGTAGGAGCACCCTTTACAATCCATGTAAACTAGAAAGGAAAACAGGAACTCAAAGTGCTAGCCTTTTCAGAACAAATTATCCCATGTGTCCTATCAAGGATGCCACCATAAGCTTCAGTTGAGCCAAAAGAGCCAAAGAGATTGAGTCTGTTCCTGTCATTCTAGTATTCTTACCTGTCACATGATAACTGGTTTTTGTTCCCTTCATGCAAGTAACTCAAAAATTCTAACATTACATCCTGTGTGTCATATAGATACCATTTACATTGGTGACTTCTGTTGGCTTGTTTTTGTTTTTACCTTTTGAGACAGGTGGTCACTCTATAGCCTCAGCTTTCCTTGTATCCATGGAAATTGCTGTACCTTAGCTGGGATTACAGGAGTAAGCCACACTGGTGATTCTTGGTAAAGTTTATGATGTTTGGAAGAAAGGCATAGCTGTCTGAGCTACGCTGCTCCATATGTAATTTACCATCAGTCTCAATCACGGAGGAATACTCCCGGGAAACTGCATTGATTTTTAAGTCGTTAGCTGAGACCTGGAACTGTGCAGAGAAGAAAAACTCAAGCTTAAGAAGAAACGTATCAGGCAACCTAGCACTTCTCTTTTGAAAGTATGTAGGGCTTTTTTTTTTTAATTGGTCCAAAGTTTCCACTTTGTGTTCATGCCTCTGAAGTCTTAAATTAGTGTCATTATTATCCATTAGTTTCTATAATGAAAGCTATTTTGTATCATTTCTATCTGTGACTGAACAAAATTTAAATTGCTGTAGGATTTAGACTTCTGAAATAGCATGGTGTTTTCAGCTCCACAATAGCCAGGTGTCAGATCGGGCCACTTCAACTCAGAATGATTAGTGTTTTGTGAGGGATGGATGAGAAATTGCTGGGCTAAGCTAGTCAAGGGAAAACTAACCAAGAGTCAAGGTGGGTTTTAATTAATTACAATGCTCTCTCGCTAACGAGAGGCCTTTGAGAAAGTAATCAAAGGAGTCTCCCATATAGGGTGTTTGTTCTCTTAAGATAATGTTTCAAACAGAAATGCCTCCAATGGTCTTCAGATCATCTCCAGATAGCCGTGAGATGCATTTCTGTTAATTTTCTAATTAGTATCCTCTCTGTTGTGTGGAAACACACACACACAAAAAACCATCCAACAACTAAAGTCTAGATTTTAGAATATATTGTAGTGTTCAGAAAAATAGACAAACACCCTTGGTGGGTTGCAGAGACTTAAAATTGACGGACAGGTGGGAGAGCTTCAGAGTGGAGAGAATGGGAGGCTTCTGGTGGGAGCTGGTGACAGCCTGGTGGCTGGGAAGCTGCAGGATGATGTCTACAGTGTCCTGTTTAGCAACTGAGGAGCACATGTCTGTCTGTGTCTTACCTGGATCACATGAAAGGAAGTGAAGACAAGTCCAGGACTGCCCTCTCTGCATTTCCAGATGCTACCCCTGAATCAGCTACAGTATTGACACCTGACAAGCACTTGCTGGAATGGGGTAGGGATGGAAATGGCCCTGCTCTATAGCAAATCCCAGCACACATCTCTCAAACCTTTTCACTGCATGTCGGTATCTGCAGTCTGGGCTTTCTTCCATCCTTCTAAAAAAAACAGCTTCTGTTTATTAGCGGTTGCAATGTTTTGCACCAGAGTGGGCACTTGGACATCACCATCTTATTAAATCCTCTGAACTAACCTAAGGTATGATGTTATTATTCTTACCTTACAAATGGGAAAATGCTTCAGAGTTAACTGTCTTGTCTGAGTTACTTGCACTAAGAAACTATGTGAACCAGGGAAACTCACATTCTATCCTGATGCCTTTCACTAAAGACAAAAAACACTTTCCCCCAAGCATGTTATGAACAGAGCAGAAAAAAACCTCCCCCCGCCCCTACCAGGGAAAAATGCTAGCTACATCATGTGAAAGGAGAAACAATATAGAGAAGGACCGAGATGCAGGTGGACTCATGAAAGGAAACTAAAATTAGAGAGTGGACTGAAGGAGAAGCAACCTCAAAGCCAGCCCACATAAATTATCATTTCACTGGGAAGGCGTGAACAGCACTTCGCTGTGGTGAGAGGGACAGAGAACGTCTTATTCACTGAGTAAGCAAATTACCATTATCCACTGTTGGGGGGAAATAATTACAACAGCCTTTTAGATGTGCTGAGAGGAAAATGATTGTCTGGGGTGTTTCCAGCCCAAAAGTAAAAGAAAACAAAAGCCAGAAGTACATCTGAGTCTAAACTGGAGGGAAACAGGCTCACACTGGTAGTCACTTAGAAAATGGTTTGAACTTTTTTAATATTCCAAGATCAGGTAAAATGGGTACACTGAGGAAAAGTCGCATATGAGAGAGAATAAAGAAACAGGGGAATCTAGACATGGTAATGTCCCCAGTGATGAATGCTTGAGAAATGGAAATTCTAATGACTTGGTCTGAACATTGCTCATCGAGTACTGGATTATCACACTGATCCTCATAGATATGGAAAATTATTATATATCTCCTTCTATTTATGGTGTGTGTGGAGAGGAGACTATATTCTTACAAAATGCTAAAGAGTCTTTGGGGAAAAGGGGCATGATACATACAGCTTACTTCCAAAAGTTCAAGGATCAAGGAAAATTCTAAATAGAGAGGAGGTCTAGGTATAACAAACCACATCTATGAAGGTATCAATATTTCAGGAAAGCTTGGTTACATTTTCTATTAAGATAGTTTTATATGGGTAAAAAAAAATAACTTGTTAGAGAACTACAGGAGTCAGTACTTTAAAAGCCCTGCCTGCACTTTTAGTGAACAGGTACCATTATCACTGCCATGCAATTAACAAGAGACAGGGCCATCTCTATTTGGCCCCAGAGCCTGTCCTTGTCCCTAGTCCTTCACACCCTCACTCCATCTTTCAGACTTTTCAAAATCGAGCGAGATAATTCATGGGAAGGTTTATATGAAGTATGAAATGCCAAGCATTTGTGAGTGATAGTGAGCTTGTGAGTGAGCTCAGCTATTTCTGCAAAATGATTAGATGACCTTCATCCAGACCACGAAATGAGTTGTCGAAGCTCAGAAGTAGAACTGAGGGGTCAAGGTCAGAGGCAAACATGTCTTCCAGATTTCAGCTCCATCTGCTGGTCTTGGAACTGTGGAAAAGTCTGGTCTCTTTCTTTCTGACATGTTTCTCTGTTGTAGAATATTATTTTAAAATATGTTACATTTGTTTATGCTGTGGAACATTTGTTTAATAATGCCAAGAGGTGTTGCATTCTTTTATGTTGTATTTGTTTAACTCTGTGAAGCTGTGTTAGTTTGCCTGTCTAAAACACCTGATGGTCTAATAAAGAGCTGAACAGCCAGTAGCACGGCAGGAGAAAGGATGGGGATGGGGCTGGCAGGCATAGAGAATAAATAGAAAGAGAAATCTGGGTGAAGGGGAGAAGAAATAGCAAGAGAACAAGGAGACGAGGATGCTAGAGTCAGCCACCCAGCCATACAGCCAGCCAGAGAGTAAGAGTGAAAGTAAGATATACAGAAGTAAGAAAAGGAAAAAGCACAGAGGCAAAAGGTAAACAGGATAATTTAAGTTAAGAAAAGCTGGCAAAAAAAAAAAAAAAAAAAAAAAAAAAAAACAAGCCAAGCAAAGACTGGGCATTTATAATTAAGAATAAGCCTCCATGTGTGATTTATTTGGGAGCTAGGTGGCAGGCCTCCCCCAAAAATAAAAGAGTAAAAAAAAAAAACCCTAACCTTTTGGCACCCAACTTGGGGCTCTTGAATTTCCATGTAGGTCCTTAGAAAGAGGGGGGGGGGGGGGCGGGCAGAGGATATGACTCCTTTAAGAGTTTCTGCCTGCTGATAAGCCCTCGAGCAGCCAGTATATTATATAGGAACAAAAAAAAACCCAAAACCCTAAGTAAAAATGCCTAACACAGTGCAAGCATCGGCATTGTAGAGCTCTAGGAAGGTTAAATGCAGTTCTTGGTCACCTACCTCTGACTGGGCTGCAAGCTTTTGGCTTGGGTTTCCTGACCTGAGAAGCAGGCAGAGCCAGCCACCAAAGCTGCATGGAGGTCTCAGCCTCACTGCTTAGCAGTTTTTTGCTTGTGAAGACAAAAAACACTAAAAGATACACAGTAAAAGAGATTCAGATGGAAAAACCTCTAAACAGGCTCCAATGTGTTTACAATGTGGTTGGGCTTAATAAAGAAAGAAAAAGGGGGGCTGGAGAGATGGCTCAGAGGTTAAGAGCACTGGCTGCTCTTCCAGAGGTCCTGAGTTCAATTCCCAGCAACCACATGGTGGCTCACAACCAACCATAATGAGATCTGGTGCCCTCTTCTGACCTGCAGGTGTATATGCAGACAGAACACTGTATACATAATAAATAAATAAATGTTTAAAAAAAATTAAAAAAAAAAAAAAGAAGTTGTATGTATTTTAAAAAAAAAAAAAAAAAAAAAAAAAAAAAAAAAGAAAGAAAAAGGGAATGGACAGCCATAGAAAGAGATATTTAAAAAATAATAAAGTGTTTTAGGAGAAAAGTAAAATAATAAAAAAAAATAAGCCACATAGAGATGAGAAATATGAAGAGAGTTTGGATCCTGTATGTTATTGTGTTGATTTTGAATTTTTTTGAATGCTGATGAGCAAAAGACAGCTTCTAAGAGACTTGAGATTGAAACAGTGACAGCTGAAGTAAACCAGCCTATATACTTTAGGAGTGCCTTAACTTTAAAACGGAAGTTAAAAATGTTTTGGAAACGAGGTTTTACTTTTGTTTCCATAGGAAATGAGAGGCTGTAGATTCCTTCTAGGTTAATGTGGTTTGATAAGGGAAGACCTCCTGAACTTTGACAAGTGATATCTATCAACAAAGTTATATCTAGTATTTCCAGGACTTGGTTATTATCTCAAATTTTCTCAGGGAACCTTAATGTTGCTCTGCCTACAGACAGTTTGGAGAACACAATGCCCACATTCCCAAAAGGGGGTGGGGGTGGGAGGCATTTGATTATTTCTTGGGCTATGGATGTTTGTCATCATTTATGGGGGTTGTTTATTAATTGTGACTGGTGTTAGCAAGGAAGGAAACTATACAAATGAGATTACATTCAGAGATCTCTTTCAAAAAAAGGGAAGGGGGATATAGGAATGATAAGATAAAAGGGTAGATTATTGAATCCACTTTAAATAATAGGGTAGATTATTGAATCTACTATAAAGTAAAAATCAACTCAAATATTTTGTATTTGTAAGGACTTTTGTTTATTGATACAAATTTAAGATAATTTTGTTACAATACCCTGTATATATGTTTCTACTCTTGTTTAAAGGACTTTTGTATATTGTTCCAAATTTAAGCTAATTTTTGTTACACTGTATATATATTTTTTGTCTTGTTTAAGGTATTGTACCTATGTAGTTCATTTAAAAATGTAAGGTAAAATTCTAGTTTTTGAAAGGTATTAATGTAAACTATTTAGGATAATCAAGAAACACAGGCTAGTAGTTAGTCATTCAGAATGATCAAATTTGTAGATATGTTAGGTACATTTTTCAAGATCATATAGAGATATAGTTTACGTAGATAGATGGTCTTCAAACACTTCAAAGACCTATAGAATATGACATTTAAATGTTTTGTTAACTTAGGGTTTTTCATGACAATGAGACACCTATGTTCCTGGCAGCATCAATTTACTTCAGAGATGATGGGCATTGAAGAAACTCCTTATGGAGTTTGTTTTCATTGTGGCAAGGTTAGCCACTGGGCAAAGAAACTGTTCTTGCCTTTGACTGCTGACAATGTGCTACGCAGACTGGACATGCAGGATACACAGGAAAAAGACTGTTCAACTTTGCCAAAACAAGGCAGGACAGTCCTTCAAAATTCCTGCTTCACAGAAGATTCTGCCAGATATTCTGCAAGACATAGAGGAAAGTGACTGTCAAACTTTGTCAATGCAAAGCAGGACAGTTCATCAAATTTCCTGATTCATTGAAAAGTTTGCCAGATATTCTGGGTCTGTAGGTCTAAAATGGATGCCCCAATGTTGCAGAGGAACTTTGAGTGACTGTCCAGGCAGCCAAATGTCTCTGTTGTTAAATAATATTACATCCTCTGGGTCTTTGGCAGAGTTGATGACTAGATAGTTATAGTTGCAGTTTTATAGTTGTGATAGAAAGTAAGTTAAGTGTAAAACTTTGGATTCACTAAGATAGGATAAATAATGCATTATTTTCTCTGAATATGCTAACTATAAATGGACATAATGTTATAAATGTAATTCTTACTTGATAACTGTTTTTGATGTGTATGGTTTTACTATGTTTAAGTTAAAACCTTTCTTTTTATTTAGATATAAAGGGGGAAATGTAGAATATTATTTAAAGATGTTGTTTTACATTTGTTTATGCTGTGGAACATTTTTTTTAAAGATGCAAAGATGTGTTGCATTCTATTACGTTGCATTTGTTTAACTCTGTGAAGCTGTGTTACTTTGCCTGTCTAAAATATCTGATGGTCTAATAAAAAGCTGAACAGCCAGTAGCAAGGCAGGAGAAAGGATGAGGTGTGGCTGGCAGGCAGAGAGAGTAAATAGAAGGAGAAATCTTGGGGGTGGGGGAATAAAGAGCAAGAGAACAAGGAAAGGAGGATGCTAAGGGCCAGCCACAGAATAAGAGCAAAAGTAAGATATACAGTAAGAAAATGAAAAAGCCCAGAGGCAAAAGGTAGATGAAATAATTTAAGAAAAGCTGGCAAGAAACAAGCAAGCTAAGGCTGAGCATTTATAATTAAGAATAAGCCACCATGTGTGATTTATTTGAGAACTGGGAGGCGGGCCCTTCAAAAGAGTAAAAGAGAAAAAAACAAAACAAAACACCATTTCTCCATGCCTGTTTGGTGTTGCTCCTTGAGACTGAGTTGTGACTCCCCAAATCTGCTGGTGGCTTGCTTCTTCAAGGCAAGAGCTGACTGGATGCTGGCAAGCCTAAAGGCCACCAATAGCATCTGTGCGTCATCTCTCCCACAGCTGATGTTGCAGATGGCATCTCTCTTGTGTCTGATGCAAAACTTATTTTCTTTCCCATCTGAAATACAGAAGGGAAGGTGGGCAGGGGGCCTTGGGTGGCCTACAGACTTGATTCCCACATACACCTAAACAGAGTCTCTAAGGCTGTTTCTTCATAACAGGTATTTCTATTTACTTAATAATACTTCTAAGAGTTTTAAATTGGAATCTGGGATGTTGATACTGTATTTCATTTGAAATTTAAGATGATAACTTCAATTTCCGTGAAGAATTGCATTGGAATTTTGATTTGGTTTACATTGACTTAATAGATTGCTTTGGTAAGGAGGCCATTTTCACAATAATAATTCTACCAACACATGAACATGGGAGGTCTTTCCATCTTTTAGTACCTTTTTCAATTTCTTCACAGAAATTGAAGATACCATCTTAAATTTCAAATGAAATGCAAGAGACCTTGAATAGGCAAAACAATCCCAAATAATAATAAGCTGTTGGAGATATCATCATCCCAGATTCCAAGTTATACTATAGAGCTACAGTAATTAAAAACAGCATTGTAGTGGCAATAAAAACAGATACATTGATCAATAAATAGAATTAAGGACCCATACATAAGGCAAAACTCACACAGCCACCTGGTTTTAAACAAAGAGTCGGACAATGCATACCGGAGGAAAGGCAGCATCTTCAACAACTGGTACTAGTCAAACAAGATGGCTACTTGTAGAAGAATGAAACAAATTCTACCCTCACAAATTTCAACACCACGGGGATCAAGAACCTCAAGCCAGATACCCTGAATCTCATAAAGGATGAAGTAGGACATCTACTGGAACTCATTGGCACAGGAAAAGATTTTCTGTACAGGACTTAATAGTGCAAGCATTAATATCAGCAACTGCAAAACGGAACCAAATGAAACCAAAAAGCTTCTGCTCAGCAAAGGATACCATCTCGCCAGAGAAGCAGCATCCTAAGGAATGAGAAAAAGTCGTTACCAACTTTGCAACTTACAAACACTACCTAGAAGAAAGAACTGAAAAAAAAAAAAAAACCCAAACATCAAGAAAACAAACAACCCAATCAAAGATGGAGCATGGAACAAAACTAAGAGATCTCAAAAGATGAAATACAAATGCCTGAGAAATAGTTTTTTGGTTTTTTTTTTAAGTGTTCAACATGCTTAGCTGTTAGGGAATCGCAAAATAAAACTACTTTTAGATTTCATTTTATTACATTCAGAATGGTTAAAGTAAAAAAAAAATAGATAACATGCTAGTGTGGCTATGGGAAAAAGGAAACATTTAATCAGTGTAATCTTTACAGTCAGGAAGGAAATCAGTGTGGAACTTCATCAAGAAACTACTAATAAATCTGCCACATGATCTTGTTACACTGCTCTTAGGCATATAGCCAAAAGACTGACTATCTTACTAAGGAGGTGGGTAGTTCATTGCTGCTCCATTCACAACAGACGGGATACAAGCAGCCTAAATATCCCTCCAACTGATGAATAGATAATTGAAATGTGATACATTTACACAATGGAATATTATTCAGCTGTTAAGAAAAAAGAAGTTATGAATTCACAGAAAAGTGGATGGAACTCACACAATCATGCTGAGTGGTAGCATAGACCTAGAAAGAGAAACAATGAATGCTTTTTCTCATTTATGGATGCTAGCTTTAAACCTTTAGAGATGTATGCTTCATATGGAATATTCATAGAGGTCAGAAAATTAGTGAAGGGTCCTGGGATTTAGGGGAGGGTATTTAAGGTAAAGAAGAAAGAACCTATTGATATAAAAAGGGAATCCTAATAAAGGAACAGGAAGGGTTAAATGGAGTGGGAGATGGGAGGGTAGTGTAGGGGAGGGAAAATGGGAAGGTATCCTTAACCCTAAGGACCTCATGAAAACCAGTACTGCAAAGTCTTCCAAGTCTTCCTGTCACTTAAACACACATGTATCTAAAAAGATCTGAAATGGAATTACCCTATAATGGAGTCACAATGCTCCTACTAGACACGACCAACTAATAAGCGAAAACTCCAGTGTCAAGAATGGGTTTCCTCTTTAGGAGTTCTTGGTCAGTGTGGTCCCATAGATATTGCAGATTTTTTTTTCTAATGCTCTTGGTTCCAGTCCAGAACTTGATGCTAAGACCCTGTTGATGAAGGCACCACCTACCTGAGTCACGGAATGTGTACAAACCAAGCTGGCACTGAACTGTGTGCATCAAGAGTCTAGTAGTAGTACTTGGCAAGTGGTGGGTTAGGACAAGGATGACAGAGGAAATCTGTGTTTAACAGAGAACAGAAATGCAAGTTAGTATGAGCATAGACAGAAAGTGGATTTTTAAATGATTCCTAGCTTTGTTGTTGTTTAATTTTTCATTTGAAACTGAAAGGAGTACTACAGAGTCAGCAGAGCTCTGCAGTAGACCAATTAGAAAACAAGTCTACTCTTGTTTAGGGTTCCTCTGAGCCGAACAACTAAAGCATGTGAAAATATGTCATTCACCATTACACTCGACAGAAGCCAGCATTGACATACAGCCTTCTGCATACAAACTGCCTTTATGATTTGTTTGGGAAGCAACAGGTTGTCAGGTATGGTGCCCCTTCATTTTCTACCTGGGCCATAAATAATAAACTAAACCCACTCAAATTGCTACAACAGAAACTGGCATGTTTGTTTTAAACTGGGTCTTTTTTCTCCAGGCACAAAGTTGCTTGTTTGCTGGGAAGCATGCTTACCTTTTTTTTTTTTTAAGGTAGTCACAGAGCCATCAACTTTGGCAGTGTTCTTGTAAAAACAGCAAGATGGGAATAAAACATGTTTTCAGTCTCAAAGGAACATGGTAAGCTTCTTTTTAATTTTTCAGTAAAATATTTTAATAATGCCACTGTCGTTTTATTATTATTATTATTACTCAATTTACTGTTGACTTTAAGGACCAGCAAAGATGCTCTTAGCACATTATACAGCATACCTTGATGGTACTACCAAGTGTACCCATTACACGGAAGACATAGCTTAGAGACACAGTTTACATCACCTCAGTGCCCCGAAGTGTCCACTGTGGCAACTGGTAGGAAGGGGACAGAGCATAAAATTAGTTAGACCATATGTATTTCATTTATATAAGATGCAGTTATTAATCTGAGTGACACATCATCCCTTCGGGCAGTTCCTAGAAATTCTAAGTGTCAGAAACAGTTAATAGAACTGGGGAAATCCGAGTAAGCATCTCCCAGCTACACTTGATACCACACAGTGCATTTTACTCTGTGGGTTTTAGTTCAATTCCTGTGATGTTTTAAATGTCTGTAAACTTCTGGATTGAGTTTTGCTCATCTATGGTGGTGCCTAGTCCCAAACACATAGTAAGCACTAAAAAAATAAAAAATCGACTAGATGAACTTTAAAACAATACATTCAGTGAAGAATTTGTCTCCAAAATGTTCGTCCCTGCAAGGATGGGAGGATTGGATTGATCGGCTTGACCACAGTCCTGTCGGGCACAAACAGCAACTGAGTCTTGTTCTACTAGGACCCCTCGCCCTTGCTCTTTTCTGAACGCTGCAAGAGAATTCATAGGGAACACCCATATCCAAGGGGGCAAAGTTCACAAAAGCATGTTTACCCGCAACTCGGGACAGCTGTGGCTGCCTCTGAAAAATAGGAGGGCCTCCGTGACAAATGGGCATTCCGCACGTGAGCAGACCGACACACCCGATCTGCGGCTCCCACAGCCCGGCTCTTGGTCACCCCTGAGCCCCTCGGATAGTCCCAGGAGTCTCAGAGGCGAGAACTTGGCCACCTCTACCAGGGTTAGATCGGCCTGTGTTGGTGGGCAAGTGGGGAGCTCCGAGTGGAAAGCGACCCGTTCCTAAGTCCGTCCCCGCACAGCAGGGCGCCTCTCTGTAGCCGCCCGAGTGAAGATGCAGGCAGCTAGAGTCGGCGGAGCCTGAACAAAGGGAGCCAGCGGCCCAGAGGATGCTGCGCTCCCCACGCCCCACCCAGCGGGCCAGGACGCTGCCTGGCGTGCAGGTAGCCGGGCTTTCGCTCTGCCGAGGGCTGTGTGTTCGAGGCCAGCACACAAAGACTCACTTCCTTGAGGCCAGCCTCCCAGGCCGCCCTGCCCACCACTCGCGGCCGGTGGCATTCCTGTGGCCACCACCTGGACTCTTGCAACCCCGGGTGCCAGGTTCGGAGGAGTCGAGGCTGTGCGGGGAGCCCTCAGAGCCGCTCGCCTGGTGGAGGCGGTGGCTGGGATTAGCACGCCTTTTTAGGCAGCCGCGCCGCCCCACGCAGCGGAGTCTGCAATCGCTGTGCGAGAGGCAGGCTCTGCGTCGCCGGAGCTTCCCCGCCTGCGCCGGCCGCCGGGCAAGCTGCGGGCTAGGGCGCGCGCGGGAGGCCGAACAACTTCCCGGCGCCCATCAGCTAGGTGAGCCGGGACGGAAGACCGGAACCGGGAGGGCGGGGGTGCACGGGGCTCCAGGGCGGGACAGCCTCCGATCGCGGGCCCACGGGGCCACCAGCAACCGTGCCACAGCCGCGCAGGCTGGAACAATGAGGTGCGCGGCGCGGGGCTGAGCGCAGCCACGCATCGGCTGGGAGGCCGAGCTGCAGCCGGCGGCGACGCGGTCGCGCGCTACCGGATAGGGGACCACGCCACCACGGGATCGCCTGAGCCCCCAGCGAGGCCGCGCTTCCCAGGGCGTCCGTGTGAGTGTGGGAGCGCGTGGTGCGCGCGCCCGCCCGCGTGGCTGCCGGGGAATAAAATGTGACACGCACGAGTCTGACTTCGGTGCAGAGCACAGGCGTGGGGACAAGGTGAGTGAGTAGCGCGCGGTGTGCGGGCATCTGAGACCCGCCGCGTCTTGCTGGAATCGCCTTGGCCGCTGCGTTGAGCTACTCAGAGTTTGATGAGCTCAGCTGCCAGAAGCCAGCGCTGTGTGGGGAGAGCAGGACACTCCGAAGAGGGTGAGCGAGGAAGGGAAGGGTTGCGCTTTGGGGACAGGTGGACACAGTTCACTCTGGGGATCCGAAACTGTGCATTGGTTTGATGTGATTTAGGTGTGAAAGGAAGTGAAGATTTTTTTTATCAAATTGCTCGACCCATCTTCATGCCAATTAGCGCGCTTACAGCTCATAGAGAGCATCCTGATTTTATTTTCCCCACTGTGTGGCTGTACTGTTTAGGTGTAGAGGGCTCTTTAGAAGCCGCCCTCCTCCCCCAAAGTCAGTGTTAATTCTTATTCACTTGGCTGGCGAAAACTCCGCGTTGGGATTGTTTCACTTCCCATCGTGTAGAATGGTTATGTGATGAATTCTTTTTAGTATGAAAAGTGACATCTATCTCCTTTGGACCTGATGGTACTAGTGCTGCGGGACCAGTGAAGTTAAACTCATGGTTCGACGCAAATGAGGCTTTCCAAAGAGAGCTGAATAGTGTGTTTGGAGAAGCTGTGCTTTCCAGGAATTTAAATGAGACTTTTGTGATTGCCTTCCAGCGTCTCCCCCAGTGTTTCTCGGGGCAGAACTTCCAAAGAAGTGTTGGAATCCAAAAGCACCGTGGGGTGAGGAGTTACATGTACCTAGATTTTAGTAAACTTCGGGGTGGCGGGGGGGGGGGGGGGGGGGCGGGGACGGGGACGGCGGGATGTCCTGCTGAAAATTTGATGAGAAATAGGTCATATTTGGTGGAAATCATTGTCTCTTGAGTTACTGAGCGTTCTAGTACATGGAGGCACACAATGGTCATCCTGCGGACTGCCTTTCTGGGTGAGGAGACTCCTAGGCTGACTTAAACGCTGCACTTTCTGCACGCAAAAAGAAAAAAAAAAAAACTAACAGGAGTTTAGCTTTTCAACCTTTATTTTTTCCTGGGAGTTACTTGATAGTTGACTTTCAAAAATTCTGATCAATATTTTTGTACCACTTTGAAATACAGCGTATGACTGGGGGAGGATTTCAGTAGCAGAGTGTTGGGGTGGTACATTTGGGGTAGCTCTTCTTTTCAAAGGAAAAGCAACGTGTGGCCATTTAGCCACTTTTTCCATCACTATTTTTCTGGAACTGACAACCAGTCCCCTTCCCCCATTTTGTTCTAATGTGTTAAAAAAAAAAAAACTGTCAGCAATGGTAGTTGGGTACTGTAACTGAAGAAAAGAAAAAAATAAAAATAATAGATGACTGGGTTCTGAATTTTACAAGGGGGCGGAGACTCAGACGTACAGAAGTTCTCGATCTGCTTCTCACAGTTCATAGAAATTGGAGCATCCTGCATCCCTTTTTGCCCAGTGAAGATGATGTTTCCTGAGTTTTGAGCTAAATCCTCTTGGGAATTTGGACATGGGTCCTCTCCTGACAGAGCTCTGAACTCCATGGTTTAGGGTGCTGGTTGGTGTACATAATTTTGAATTAAAGGTAAGGATGAAGATACGTACCTGGAGGACCTGGGCTGAGATACTTTAATATCTGGAAATGTGTGAACGAGAGATTATGCAGAAAGGGACATTCATCTGTACTGAGTTCTGACCATGAAAACTAAGAGGGAATGGATTCAAGTTTCTGAGGGCAGCTGAGCCAAGCCATCAGGACAGATCAGATGCAGTACTAGTTGCAGAGATATCTTATACATATGTCCTTGTTTTTAGGGCTCCTCCTCCTTTTCTTCTTCTTTCTCCTCCGCTTCCTCTTCCTCCTCCTCTTTCTCCTCTTCTTCCCCCCTCCTCTTCCTTCTCCTTCTTCTGAGATGGTTCTCTTTCTGTGCAGATCGCTTGCTTTTATGCTAACTGAACCTCTATCCTTTAGTGCAGAATGTATCCAGTCATTTCTTGATAAGCACTGGCATACTCGGATCGGTACAGCCCCTGCTTAGATAAATAGGTCTCAGAGAAACTTGCAGACATTTATCCCTTGGGAAATTATTAATTAATCTGCAGGTTTTCTGCCTCCTTGCTTCTGATACTCTGAATAGAAATATCTCATGCATGATAATAGGATGTCTTGTTTTAAACACGGATTTCTCTTTAAGTGTACTGTATTATGGTATTCCCTGTTGATTGTGTTTTCCCTCCTTTGGAGTGTTCTGGAGTATGACCTTAAAATTTAATTGCTTCAATTAGTGTTTAATTCAACTTGCTCAAGTGTCTAAGCAAAACAGAGTTCCTTTTGTGGTCACTAGATAGTAAGTATTAAAATTGTTTTAAGCCTTAAAATTCGAAATTCATGCTTTACCAAAGATGAGACTCATAAGTATGAAAGAAACAGTTGCATGGAATCAGACACTAATTTTGGAATCAGGCGAGAAACAGGTGCACATTTACACAGAAATTTTCAGTGTTTTTAGCACCAATTATTGATGTCAGTGCCAAGGACTAAATGGGCTATGGATGATGACCAGCTACTGTTAGCAAATTAACATACCTTCAGTTTAATAAAGCTTCTCCTTTTTTTTATAGCCCATTCTGTACCACTTTTGAGAGATTTATCAAAAAGTACCAAGATTACAGCATTTGGGGTGGGGGAGGTTGTATTTATTATGTCTCTTATCAAATCTGAAGTTTATCATGATCTGAAATTCCCAGAACCCCCATGAGTGGATAGGGAACAGCTGCAGTGTGGAATATGTGCCTGGAACTTACCCAGTCTGCATTTGGAATGTATTAAAATAGGGACTAGACTGCCCTCAGGCTTTGTTAGGAACTGGTGATCTGGTCCAGCACTGCCAGTGATCCTTACCTGGCCACTTGGTAGAAGCTGGATCCCAGCTGTGTCAGCCACCATGTGTATTCCACACCACCCCCCAGAACCAAGTGCTTCCTGGTGTGCAGGGATGGGGGGCAGGGGAGTGGCTATGTGATAGGAAATGACACCCGAGGCTTGCCCCCCACTCTCAAACATACTGTCTCTACACAACTGTTCTAAGCCTGTCCTGCCTCCTGCTGTCCCCAGTGTTCCTCTTCAGGAAAAAATTCCAAATTCAAGGTACAGTTTGGCCCTAGAGAGATGGAAGAGTCTGAAGACTAGGTTTACTATTTTGTAATGGGCTTTCCTGAAGAACAAAGTGATCAAGAAAGCTGGCCATCAGTGGCCTTGCGGTGACTTATCCTGGAGGAAGTCTCCCTGTACCAGAGTTCAGTTTCCAGGGCTATAAAGGAAAAACAGGGACCAAATCTACTCCAAGTTCACTTCTGGTTTTTGGATTCTTAAGATCAATAATTTAATGTTCTGGTGTACTTAAAATCGATTTCCCCTGCAGCTCCTGGAGAAGGTATCAATCCAAGAAATCGTAACAGCAACTGATTTGCAGGTATTGGGTACCACACCCTGCCATTTGCTTTGCATAGGTTATTTGAGTACACTTCAGCCATAAGCCTAGGAAGTGCTATTACCCTGTTTTAACCGTGTGCAGACTGAGCCTCAGAGAAGTGAAATGTCTCGACAGCATTGGGGCATTTGCCCAAAGCTCATGCTGCTGGGCTGAGCTCCGCTCTACAGAAGATCACAAGTGGCCACTGTCATCATCGGGTCCGGCCAGAGAGTGTTGAGACTGTGAGATCATCTTCTCCGGTGTGCTGGAGCTGCTGGGTG